TATTTCCGATGAACCTTATACTTCCGACCGAATATATTGCGCATGACGATCAAATACGTCTCACCGCCATCCACCGTTATTCGATATAAGCCAAGATATTGTGGCAGAAGTGTTTTGCCGTGCTTTTCCACAACATACTACAACATTCATCAACCATCAACAAACAAATCGAGTACGCCATATTCACTATTAAATCGCATTGAGCCACCTAACCGAATGGTTTAATATGATAATATTATGACGAATACACCCTCACCTCATGATAGAATCTGAGTATTGAATGGATCTCCGCTACTGCTTCTGAATCCAACGTTTTGATCACGAATTTCTTATCGTACGAAATGAACAATCGCGGTCCACTCTTATCTGCCTGATCGTGTTCAGGATCTGGTTCGTAGCAAGTCAGTGAACGCTGAAACAACACGCAATCAACATCTGTGTGATCCATTATCGTCGAAATAGATGAAATCATCTCCCTGGCATTAGTGATGATAACTGAAACGAACACAACAGAAGGTGCTTACCAAGTATTCGTTCTGATCCACACCGAATTGCTCTCTCAAATTGCGGAACACATTCGGGCAATAGTCCTTCACTTTGAAATGACTCGGCATATTATCTCTGAAATGAGACCAACAACAAACTCACTGACTATTCTGCTCATTCCTCATCTATTCAGGTTCTTCGTTAACGTTCACATATGAAAATATAAGAATACGAAAAAAAAAAACAAAAATCCAATGAGATCAGCTCTGAAAAAGTAAACATTTCATACTCACTTATTGAAGAGGTGATAATCAACTTTGATTTTTGTGCTTGCCTTGAAGTCATCTGGCATCAATAAGCCTGGTGGTGGAACGTGCATCAATTCGCCGATCTGCAACCAATACCGACAATTCAACTGGTCTTATCCAACCAATTTCATATTCAATATTCAAACTTATTTCTATTAAAGTTCCGTGAACGAATCTACCACACCACTGACTTTCCTCAATAACAAAATAGAGATTATGAAGTACATGAAACCGCTTCGATCAGCNGTGAACGAATCTACCACACCACTGACTTTCCTCAATAACAAAATAGAGATTATGAAGTACATGAAACTGCTTCGATTAGTACCAATAAATAGTGAAAATCAAACAGATGCCAAATTACTTTTGATATATGCTCATCTCTAATGGTAACCCACTGATCAATCTTGCTACACGATGATTATTTATTCAGTTGGTATTCAAATTAGTCGATAAAAAGCAATCTCTTACAATCTTAATGAGTAAATATAGTTGCCATAAAAGTCTAGTCTTGATAAGGGACCATGGCTCAGGTCGATGTTATGTGTTCATGTTTCATTTTATCACGTTATCGATGAACGACTTTAGGACAGCATCTGTTGTGTTCTCCTTTCAGTTGCGCATTCATCTTTATTTGACGACGAATATTTCAATTTCAACAACACAGAAGATAACCCTTTCTTGATGACGCAACCAAAAAAGATTCCAATCGAAGCTTATTTCGCAACCAAAGTGTTGCACGTATAAACGAAATCAATCCAGTCAAAAAACCGAATGTATGCATCACAAGGTAAACACCCATTCCCGNGTGTTGCACGTATAAACGAAATCAATCCAGTCAAAAAACCGAATGTGTGCATCACAAGGTAAACACCCATTCCCCTTGTTCCTTCGAACTGATAAAAATTTTATGACTCCTTCAAATCAAAACCCTGATGAACGCCTTATGTCAATAATACACAACAGATCTGTCACAATCAAACTAATTCCTTGCGTAATTGAAAACGAACGCAGTGCATATCGACTGTGAGCGATGATCAATATCACGTGATAAGGACCACAGAAATTACGGCACGAAAATTATTGCCAAAGTTCCCCAAATGAATGAATAAGGAGAGAAATTTTGAAAATAAACTGAGAATTGAAAAATTCTAACCGTATGATTTACACCCCACATGAACACAGAAAGCAGCGGTTCTTTTGCTCGGAATAATTTCCATTTTGGTACCAACACTTTACCCTTGCTCCGTTTACCGGCTCGAGGCGTCTTCTTCTTCGATGACATCACTCACCCCTTCTAAAAATAAAGTGACGCGTGTTCAGATGACACCAGATAGAACAACGACCGCGAAGAGCAACTAAAAATTTTGAACGAACGGAACATTTAAACAGCGTGCTGCACAGGTCATAAAATTAACTATCATTCACCACATAATTGCACTCAATTCAGATTCAGCTGCTCAAAGTGTGAACGATTTTTTAATAGACATAAAAGTGTAGAGTTTGACCATAAAAACGATGCGATATTCATTCGATTACGAAAGAGCGGTACTAGACATAACATAACAATGTGGAGAATAATTGTCGAATGCGAACTAAAAAAAA